AGATTAAAAATTAGGAAAAAACAAATTAAATTATATAAGAATGTTGAGGTAATAATTACTATTATTTATGTGGAGTTCATAAATATTTATTAGACTATAGCTTATTTTTATTCTGACTGAAGGTCTTAGTTCATGATAGTTAAAAATACAGTTTGATTTTTGTATTTCATAATTGTAGTTGTTTTTATATAATATTAATTTTATTTTTATTTTTTTTTATATAAGGTATAAATTATAATAAAACTATTTTTGTGTAATAAAGATGCTTTTGAAATGGCAGTATAATTTTGTGTTGATATACAGGTAGGTTGTAATTAACATTTAAAGTCACATGGTTTATGTAAGAAATATGACTGAAAAGTGAAATATGTACTTGGATATTTTAAAATGTAAATAGACGAATCTTATTTTCATGAACTTATAAAGATAATTTGTCCGTGTGGGAAATATATATCTCATGTTACACTTTGTATTTTTCCGTGTTCCTTCCCACTGAACGATAAATTGTCTATTACCGTTCCGACCCATCTCACCTCTTACAGACATAATCATGAACAACTGAACATAATGTTACGTCGCCTATAAACTAACTTAGTTTTAGACCTCGACATTTATTTGTATCTATTAATTGTCATAAAATTATGTAATAAGTCAATGCCTGACAAAGAGCTTAATTGTTATTAAGTAAATTTAAAAAAATTTATTTTATTTGAAAACCCCAGGTGTCCAAGTTTAAAAATCAGAATCGGTATTGTACTGATTGCACCTACATTACCATAGTTATGGTAAAATAGAGTGTGGTAACTCTGAACGCAGATCAATGCAGATACAATTTACTATATTGCTATTTTGTGTATATTTGGAATTTAAAAATTGATTTTAATACAATTTAAGAAAAGAGATTTTTATAAAAATAAATATAGGATACATTATGTTATATCTTGCATTATTTATTCGATTATTCTAAATGCATGTGATGACTCATTTAGCAGTAAGTAAAAAAACTATTAAACATTTGTACAAATTAAGATAAAATGATCTTCACTGTTTTCCGCCCAAACCGACCTTTCCGTTTATTACCAGTATATTTTAGTAAATAATATTACTAATGAATATTTCCATTATCCGCCACAACAAAATCAGTTTTTATATTTTGGCAATCCCTTATTGTAAGAATTAATATAATATGTTATAGACCACGTAGATAATATTTTCGCTATCGACTATTCTCTGTTATTAGAAAGAGGAAATATTGAGTAAAGCTGAGGTGACAATTGAGCACGCATACGTGTATCATGTACACGGCAAGTTTTCGTTTACCAGTCCATAGTGTGCTATTGCCTATTAGTTTAAATATTAGAGTGAATTGACCTACTATACAACTTTTAGGTAAGAACATTACATGTGTTCTCTCATTGTTTTTTTTTATATATTTTAATTTTTAAGTGAATTATGAGTGTGTAAAGTATTATTATTTGAACTAACAGTACACTATTGAAATTGGCGAAAGGAAATTTCCTATGTCATACATGTGTAAGACGGAGAAAACACATATGGGTGCGACATCCTCTTAAGATAAATTGTTGCTATTATTTTATGAAGCTTACACTTACTGAACAAAGATATTTCTATGTAAACAAAATTAAAATGAGTTATTTATTCCTTATATTAATGTATATATTGTTTTGTAATAACTAATAATAATATTATAAAATATTCTATATTTATTTAAATTGTAAGAATCACTTAATGATTCTTTTTAATTGTCTTTATTAATAACCGATAACCTTTAATTATTTTAATTTAATATAAAGTATTTTTAAAATCATTGCCAATTATCAATAACTCCACATATTTTTATAGAAATGGGTTACTAAAATCTAAAAACTGAAATTTGTTGTGATGGAAATTGGAAGAATATATTATTTTATACTGGTTGTAAACGGATTTGGAGGAAAACAAAAAAGTCAATTATGGCGGAAAAATGAAACATTCAGTTAAAGTAGGTAAGCGATTGGAAAGGTACTTTGCCTATTTTGGCGTACCTATTTATAAAATATAATATACTTAAAATAAGTAAAACAAATACAAAGTCACTTCATGCTGGGCCACAGAGAACTTATTCCAACAACAATCGAATTTTCACTCACAAAACAATATATTGCAATGATTTTCACATAGATCTTAATTACAATTACAATAAAATACCCAGCTATTTACATAATATTCATACTTAATAATACTTTCTGATTTTAAGAACTTTATACAAGTTTTTGAATAGGTGTTATAATTCCATATAAACGCATTATAAATATGTATATTTATGAATTTAATAGTTTTCAGATAATTTTTAATGCATTCGAAAATAAAATATTTTATTATTTACATATTTATATAATAAATATAAATCCCTTTGATGTTATAAACCTATTAAAGTTACCTATAGTTAAATATTATATTTTACCCAATTTCCAGTATTTAATGTAAATAGTATAATATATCTCTTTAAAATAGATAGGTCTTATACTTGTAAATCAAGCTAGGTTAATATTTAATACGAAATTGCTATGACTTTAAGTTATATTACCAAAATAATCATAATAATAAGTGTGATCCTCCAAGACTTATGAAGCGCAAATGGTGTAGAGACTTGCTAACTGCGAATATCAGTTAACTGACGAAAGTAAAAAAAAACAAATAGGAAGTGTTACCAATGGCTTCACTGACTTCTTGCATCATTATATCCATGTACAATGTTAGAAAAAAAATATTGTTTAGATTTTAGGAAAATATTCTAATAAGTATTGACTAATACTAATGGCTATTTAATTATACATAGCACCTGCCTATATTATATTATTTTAGTATAATTCAACAATGTATATTAAATATTTGTATTATTTGTATACGAGTGACTATAATTCCACATTAATGTGAAATTATAATTATTCACTTCATTTTGAAAAAATAATTCTTTTATCGTGTATTCAATTTATGTTAAAATTCGACATGCATATAATATAATATTAAAATATTTTAGTATCAGCCAAATAGATATATTCCTACTATTTCAATAAAAAAATATCGTATACATGAATATTGTTAAATTATTATTTTGTGTATCTACTTGAAATAAACTGTATAGCATATGGTACGCGTTTATTGTATACCTACCAATCGTAAATATTTAATCAGTTAAGGTATACTCAGAATTGGGTTTTTAAGGAAAATATATACTTATTAATAATTTGATTAAATTAAAAAATTAATAATAAAACAATAAATTATACACCTTATTTATAGTAGTACAAATAGCTAGTTTTAAGTTGTATGTTCAATGTTCATGTATACATGGATTATTTATATGTATTACCATTAACCATTTATCACTGAATAAATCCATATACTAAATTGTATCATATAGGTAAGCTTCATTTTTTATAATGTTATAACACACTTAGAACTTTTCACGAAAGAGTTCATTTCGTGAACTTGGGTCATATCATGTAATACGTTTTTACGTTCATGCATAATAGACATTTATTTTATATATTCCATTAAGTGGAAATGGTAACACTTGGTGACTTTTTGTGAAATGGATACTTATCTTGAAAAGTAATAGTAGTTGAATTATTTTTTTATTTTCAGGATAGGTTATATTTAATTTGTTATGAAATTTGATATTTTTTTGCTTATTTTTGATAAGCTAAAACATTTACTACGTAGACAAAAACTAGTTTAACCTAAAAATAGATGGCGATGTTCCAGTAGCTAGTTGTTTGAAAAAATATAATATTCAAACTTCCTGTTTATTTTCTAAAAGTATCACATATGTAATTATATAATTAATCAATACTAACTAACTTTAAACGAAACTTGTATTTCTGGTGGACAGGTCTAGTAGACTACACATTGACAAGCCGTTTTATAAAAGACTAATGTCATACTAAATAGTGTACTTGCACCAAATGTTTGGCTAGGTGTAGTATTAGTTTAAACATATTATGTACCTTTTTTAATTTTTATAATAATAATAGCTTTAATTATAATTCCCATGGAACTTAGTAACTTCATTTCGAATGTAAACTATTAAACAATGTTATTTATTTAAAGCATCTCCTCAGTGTAAAATTATAATATTTAATTAACTCAGTAAAACGTAATCGGTGTAATATACCGATGTATACCACATATTATATAAATGTAATATATAACTAAGTTTAATAAAATGCATAAAATAATGCAGAATGGATCTAAAATAGAAATACCTTGCACAGCGGTACGATCTAAAGTATTTTATTTACAGACAAATAACTTGATTGTAAAATATCTAACTAAATAAATGTGTCAATTTTATATGTTTTTTAATTTGAGTAGAACTCTTGATCAAAAAATCATTCCCTTTGCAGGTGTATTTAGAAAATAAACTATGTATGTAATTATGTAACTAAATGTTAGCTAGCTATATATATGTTATACTAAGTTTATATTTTAACTTTTTTTTAAAGATCGATAAGTATGTCGGCTTTTACTGTCTTGAGTACTTACCTAGGCAAATATGTGATATTTAAGGGAATTTGTGAACCTCAGCAGAAACATGCCCAAATGATTAACTGGTTATAAATGCAATTGTTTAAATTTCAGTGGTACACAATTTTAGGAAACTAAAAACAAACGTTTAAAAATCTAGTTTTAGAAATTCAGCAGGAAGTATTAGGTAATATTTATCAAAATGCGATAAAACGAGTAGGACCGATTCCGATCTTCTATGTTGCACAAAACACAAACGCTTCCTTAATACTCATCCCTGAAAATAGCCCCGAATAATAATTTATTTTTCTATGCGACATTTTGTTCAATCGATACACTAGTATACGATCTACCAATTGGAGACAGGATCTTATCATCGTGTATATACGACGGTATCATAATAATATATAATCATCCTGATTGAACCACTTACTGCTACAGAATCCAAGTACCGCAATAGCGAGTCTTACCTTCCAGAGCCTTGTTTCGGGCTAGCAGTGCGAGCAGGACATCCGGGTTGTGGGCTGCAGCCTGTAGTTCGGCCGCTGGCCTGTGGTGCAAATGATGGCCGTGGTGGCCGTGCGGGTGCAGGTGCGGCAGCAGCGACGATTGTGAGGCTCCTCCGGACGGCGGTTGTTGCAGCACCGTGGACATACCGCCCGCGGTGTACGCTGACCCGCCGGTTGTCGTCAACCGCCGGCTGCAGTGGTTGTGGCGGCGGCGGTGGTGTCGTCGGCTGCGGTGGTGGTGAGAATGGATGCACCAGAGGCCGTCATCAAAAGCGACGACAACGGTGTTACTAACTGCGACCCGGTTCCACCAAGTGGCTGGCGTGCGTTGACGGTGCAAATGTCTCGAGAGGCGGCGGCGCGGCTGTCGCTTGTGGGTGCGTGCGTGTGCGTGACCACGCGTGGCGGCCACAGCGGCGACGTGTGCGTGCGCGTGGGTCGCGACAGCGGTGGTGGCAGTGGTGCGATACTGGAAGATTGTACGTAGTTGTACACAAGTACTGTAACGCGAGCTTTTATCATCGGGCGGCGGCGACCGAACTTTCGCCGGTTGGTGGTGGTGGCGACGGAAGCGGCGGCGATGAGGGACGGCGGTGGTTTCGTGCTGTGGCGGTGGTGGAGGCTTGGCCTCTGCGTTATGCGATTGCGGCGGCGGAAAGCATGGAAAACCGAATGGGTACCTCACCCTGATGTGGTGGCGGGTAAGGGTGCTGCGATACGCGCGCGCGCTCTCGCCCTAACACTCCTCGCCCCGCTTTCCACATCACGCTTTCCCGCCACTGCGGCCTGAGGGGTTTAATTTCGCTAAGTGTTGGCGCACATATACATGTACACACGCACCGACCGCCGCCCTTCCACCCTCATTTGTACTCGGCGTCCGTCCCTCGTGGAATTACCGCCATTGCGCGCGTTCCAGCGGCGGCGCGTGCGCGGTAAAATCCAGTCGCCACGGTGGTGGTTTTTGCCGGGTTTTCTTTTCACCCCCATTCTCCTCCCCTATAAATCCACTCCTCGCCACCATGTCCCTCCGCCGTAACTTCAGACGGTTTGCACGCCGAGTGCGCATCCTCTGTCGCCGGAGGACGCGCTGGCGAAAAAAAAGGAATTGAAAAAAAGAAAACGACGGGGTTCCGTGAGCTTGGGTATACATAGAGGGGTTGGTGAATGCGGTATGGGTGTGTGTTTCGAGGGTGGGTGGTGAAGAGGATATGAAAATGTACACGCTCACCGGTACACAGCGCATCCAATAGTATATAGGTGTGCGAATGTGTGTGTGTGTGAGTGTGTGTATGTGTGTGTTTGTGTGTGTGGGCATACGTAATAATGCTTTCCCCCAGCTTTTTCCTCAGTTTCTCTCTCCTTCTAGTCACATCCCAAAAGCCAAACTAACGCAGTGCAGTGGTATACGGAACCGAGGGAATCGAGAGAAAAGAGAATAAACGTCGCCGTCGCCGCCACCGTCGCCGTCATCGGTAAAAGAAGCGCAGAACTCGTCGAATAAATAATAATATCGATGTAAATGAAAAAGCCGAGTGTGAGGGGGGAAAAATACATACCAAAAACAAACGACCTCAAACCCTTCAGTTCATGCTGTTATACGATAAAACTCCTAAGGCTGAGTGCGCTGTTTGATATTCCTCGCATACAACGATTGTTCCTTTAAGTTTTTTTTTAAATATTATTTATTCTTAAAATAATTATCTCGATGTTACTAAAAGCTGTAACATAAATCAAAAATGATTGTACTACCTATGCAGTCATTAAGTCGTAACTACTAACCAGTGTTTAATAAAACCGACCGTTACTATGCACGAAATTAGTTAATATCGAGATTCATATGGAATTGGATTTATTAAAATAAATTTAAAAATTTAAAAACTATAAATAAACTCTAATAAATGTACTCTTTAAGTAACGTATTTTTATAAAACTAAATGATTCACTTTTACTTAAACGAAACGAACAAAGTATAATATGATATTAATGAATCGAACAACGGTTATCAAAGTAGCTTTGTGTCATGTAACAAAACTACCCCCGATGGCTACATTACTATAGACGTGCTGCACTAGTATTATGCTGGATTATCGGGATTTCACTTTACTACAATACAATCCATTTGACCATTTATAAAGCTACATACAGTTATTTAAAGTATTAAGTATATTTGTAATTCTGTATAACTAGCTTAATAATTTGAACTCGTCTTTATATATGTCCTACTATTGAGAAAATAGTAGAAAAAAATAAAATAAAATATTTGATCAACATTTTGATATTTATTTCTTGCAGTTCTTGTTTTCGCATATTATTTCAAAAAATATGCTCCAATTTATTGATGTAATTTATTTTATTTATTTATGTTAATGTAAAATGATTTTCATATAGGTAATTTAGATTACGATTGAGGCAAACAATGTATTAGTTTGTCAATGAATAATGATGAGTTTTTTTAGTTATCTATGGATATAATTGGGAAGTATGAAAGCTCACAAACTAATAGTATACATTAAGACGTTCAATTTCATTTTGATCATTTTCAGGGTTTCACATTGATGTTAGGATTACAATTGTTGTTTATTTAGTTAGTTTAAAAAATTTAAACTATTGATTTTTTAATTAAAACGTTATTTAAGTGTAAAAATAATTTGATTTCGAGGAATATGATTTTATTTTAGATTAAAATATATAGAAGTAGATATATTTGGTTTTAAAGCCTAAAAATACAATATTACGCTTATAATCACTCAACAACTGTTCCTAATATATTCAATAACACATAATTTGACTTTCCATAAAGAATTATTAGTATAATATATATATATATACTACGTCAAATTAAAAGAATCTAATCAAATTTGTATAGACGTATTATTAAGAATATTTATGAAACACATGAATCGTTTTGCATCATGCGTCAAAACAAATTTTAACATTTGTACTAGTATCTAATTTTCTAGTTTTATTGGTTTCTATTTAATAAAACAGGTTCTTACTGAATGAGTTTTTGTTTTTATAAAATTTATTGAAACCTGGTTGTAAAATTTAATACCTGATGAAATATTGAAAAATAAAAGTAGGTAATACGTTTTAATTCTAAAATTTATAAAATTATGATTAAGTGAAATTATATACAATATGTCACTAGTATATACATGCCCTTGTTAGCAGTTAAATCGATATAATACACTCCAATGAAACATTTAAGGGATAGGTTCACGGGAAATATATAAAAATAATTTAGGATCATAAACATCTTGAGTAAAATTATTTCATTGGATAGAGTTCGTAAAGGGCGTAGTGACTAGTGATTATGACCCAAAGTGAGGGGGATTTTTAAAAGGGAGTGAAAGTAAAGTAAACTTAATATACGCCGTATTTTCATTCTACGATTTAATATTCTTAGTATTGATTTTATTCTAATATTTCTTGGAACTAGATTTTTCTTAAAATATAATGCAGTATATAAATTAAATATTTAAATATTTGTTCAATAAATTAGTAACTGATATAATAAAGTTGTTTGTATAGTTAATTATAATACAAATTAATGCAAAATACAATTTTTAAACAATTAATATAAATGCTGTTTATCATAATTTGTAGTTGTATTTTAATTAAAACCAATAATATAGTCTTGGAGTTTGACAAATTCATCGTAATTCTAACTTTAATCCAGACAAATTAACTTGAAAACGGGAGCAAAAGTTTTGACATTTTTTTCACGTCTATAATTATGATGATGAAAAACTTAGAAACTTTTAAATTACCAACTCTCAGCGATTATTATTAATCTTGGTGAAGTACGTATAATATACTGTGGTCTGTGATGCAATAAACCAATACAGATTTCGTTTAAAAACAGTTGTAATTTGTTGGTATTTTTTTTTATTCTTATGAGAAACTATAACCTACAATTATAAAAACTAGTTCTACATGAGACATTTACTTCTTCTGCCACTAATAAACAAATATTATATTATATGTATATTTTTTTATTAAACTTCAACATTCAATGCTATTTGCTTTATTTAAAATGTAGTCATAATATTTGTATCTTGTTTTCTTTATGACCAGTGATGTCAAGTTCAGACAATTGTTTTTTAAAATTTATATTTAAGATATTTTTAAAGTTTTTATTATAGAATGTATAAAATCAAATCATAAGCGTTTATCGATATGAATTTTATACAATCCACTAATTTAATTTATAACGAATATATTGCTATTGTTACAATTTATTATCTTCACTATAACAAATCAAATGTGATTTTGAGAAATATTATGAATCACATTCATGAGTGTAGATAATCGATATGAATATGATTTCATTTATATTAAGATTTTTAAAATGTATTATTTTGTATCAAAATAATTAAAACAGGTTACGATGATACCATTAAAACACACGTCTTACGACTTATTAAAATGTATCAGTTTTTATTTATACATAGGTATAAAACAACAATAATTAACTATCAATCTATTTTTTAAATATATTATACTTGGGTCACAAAAAATAAATAATAACTAAAGCGGATCTTGAGTTGGTTCAATCAATAATGTTAAAGACCATTGAACTATCCGTCTACCCAATACGCAATAAATGTAGTACCTACATTCAGGACTATATTGTTATTCTAGATGATCGTTATTAAGTTGAAAATTGAACATGGGTAAGGGTGAAAATATATACAGTAATTCGATTATCATGAACTAAATCTCGTTGACGGCATCTAAACAAATTAACTTTTTTTTTTAATACTATTATACCTGTTATCTCTGTGGATTTAGCCAAAGTGCAACGATTAAAGAAAATGGCACTTAACAATAGGGTCTTTTCCAGGTGATGAGAGGGAAAAGACTTTTAATTTACCATTTTATAGTTAACAGTAAAAATTAACGATATTAAGAAGAAAACTTTTGCGTTTAATGTTAGTTGAATAATGTATTACCTATAACTGTATACATATACATTACAAATTATTGATCCAGTTATTGGTAGTCAGATAATAAAAAATATAACAATTAAAATACCAGTTTTTTGTTACAAATAACTTAGAATAATCGTCTGGTTAAATAATAATAATTAAACTGGATCTGATTGATAATTATCCAAGTGCTCGTAAAAATATCGCGTTAATTAAAATTAGAAACATGTTTTTTGGAAAAACCCTTTTATTGATAGTTAGCATTTTACATTGTAATTGTATGTATGTAAATACATACATACATTGTATTGTATGTATATAAACATGTATTTGTTACTT